TTTCAAAAATTTTGGCTCTATTTTTTTATCTTTAATTTGGGGTTATTTTCTCAATTTTTTTGCTTCCAATCGGGTCTAAAGGGTGTGATTAAGGGTGTACGGTGCTAGTTGTATGATTGGAAGGCATTTGGTTGAGTTTTGGTTGGATTTTGGCTGCTTTGGACTATCAAACTACTGTTCACCGTAAGAACAATCGCCTGCTAGTTGGTTTCTATTATGGGAAATGTTGTTTTGTGGTTGCTTCGTTTGTGCTTTCTTCTTCTTTCTACTTTGTGGTTGGATTTGTGCTCACCGTGCATCAGTGGACTATTTCTCCCTTCACAGTATACCGACTGCTTTGCTTCATTGTGCATCGGATTGCTGGTTGTGGTTGAATTTGGGAAGTGGTTGTTTCTTGATTTGCCAGGTTGCTAGATTGTTGCTGAAAATTTACTTTTTTTGTTGTTTTCTACTTTATTTTGGGTATTATTTTGTTGTGAGTATTGACCCTTTGTTAAAATTATGGAAAGTGGATATTTTTATTCTCTTCAGGCTATTAGTGTCAGATTAAATGGTGAAAATTATATATATTGGTCTTATATTATGAAGAATTTCTTATTAGAGAAAGAGATGTGGAGTTATGTTAGTGGTGCTTTGCAAGCTCCAATAGATCCAAAGGTAAATAAATATGCTGACTTAAAGAATACCTGGGAAATCAATAATGCTAAAATCATCACTGGAATTAACAACTCAGTTAATCAGACCATTAGTGTGCATTTGACTAAGTTTAACACAGCAAAGGAGATTTGGGATTATTTAATTACATTGTTTGTTGAATCTAGTTTTGCAAAGAGATATCAGCTTGAGCATGAAATTCAAGCTGCACGTCAGAGTGATAGGACCGTATAGGAGTTGTACTCGGTTATGACTAGATTTTGGGATCAGTTACACTTGCTGAACCTGCTGAATTGAGTACTCATATGGTATATCATACTTTTAGGAAAGAGCAGCGGTTGGTGCAGTTTTTGATGGCCCTTAGAGATGACTTTGAGGAATTTCGTGGTTCTATTCACAATCGTCTTCCACTTCCCATAGTTGATGCAGTAGTGAATGAGTTTCTGATTGAAGAAATCCGTCTTAAGACTCTTTCTGGAATGGTCTTTTTCTATTGCCTAATCAGACTTTACTAGATGTACTACCCAAAGGGACTTCTTATTCATAGACTAAATATAGGGGTCGAGCTGCTTAAGATGAGTGTAGTTTTTATCGTGAAAATGGTCACTAGAAGGCTCAATGTCCAAAATTGGTGAACAAGAATGCCAAGGGGACCTTATATGAGCCATTTAAACCCAAAAATCGTCATACAACACCAGCTGTTTCACCAGTGGATGAGTCACTTCCATTAGCTCCCAACATGACTATGATAGCTGATCAGTTGCAAAAGCTTCTTTCCCTTCATCAATCAGGTGCCCTATTAGTTTCTCCCTCCACAGGTTCATCCACTACAGGTCCACCAGGTATATCTCGAACTGTCTGCGTCTTTGACTCAGGAGTCATCCATCATATGGCTTGTAATTCTTTCTTATTTGTTTCTATTATTTCTCCTCTCTTTATTTCTATCCTTGCAACCATTGGCACCCAAATGTCTTTGGCTAGTGTTGAAACTATCGTGTCTTCCCAACTTACACTTCCTAATGTCTACTATATTCTTCAACTTACTTTAAATTTAATTTATATTAGTTAATTGTCTTATTCAGGATTTTTAGTTCACTCTTATTCTATTGGCTGTGTTGTGCAGATCCATTATCCAAAAAACTAATTGGGACAGGCCATAGAAATGGATGGCTATATGTGTTGGACGATTTTCATGTCCCTGAAGTTGTTGCATCTACTGTTGATTTATCTTCTTTTCAATTAAGTCCAAAATCATCTAATTTTTATTTATGACATTCTCGTTTAGGTCATGTTTATCATTCTCATTTAAAATTTTTAGTTTCTATTGGTATTTTGGGTAGTTTAGAGTGTAATGATATTTCAGATTGTAGTGACAGCAAGTTGACTAAAGTTACTGTATTACCTTTCAATAAAAATAATTTTCATTTTCTTGCACTTTTTGATCTTGTACATTCTGATATTTGGGGACCAGCTCCTATTGCTACTAAAAGGGGGTCTAAATATTATGTCTCTTTTATTGATGAACATATCAGATATTGTTGGGTGTATCTGATAACACGTAGTTCTTAGTTCTTTTTCATTTTCACTACCTTTTCGTGCTATGGTGCGTACTCAATATTATTCTATCATCAAATGCTTCTGTTGTGATCAGGGTGAAGAATATTCTTTTAGTCCTTTTCGTGATTTGTTGAAATCTGATGGTACTATTTATCAGTTTTCTTGTACCGACACACCTGCTCAGAATGGAGTGGCTAAACAAAAACATCGTTATATTATTAAGACAGCTCATTCACGGTTATTGTCATCCAGTGTCCCTAACTCTTTTTGGGGAGAAGTATTCCTTACAGCAGTTCACCTGATTAATTGTATTTCTACAATCCTTAATACTGGTGTCTCACTTTTTGAAAAATTATGTGGTAAGATACACGACTATTTCTCTTTACGTGTGTTTAGATGTACATGTTTTGTTCTACTACCTAATTTTAATCATACCAAACTCTCGGGTCGTTCAGCCTTATGTGTTTTTCTTGGATACAGTGAGGGACAAAAGAGATTTCGGTGTTATGATCCTAGTACACAAAAACTCTATGTTTCTCGTCATGTTGTTTTTATGGAGCATATTCCCTTTTTCTCTATTTTATCTAGTTATTCATCTCTGCATAAATCTGATCTTATCTATTTTGATCACTTTCCCTCTAATGTTTCCTTTGACTCATATGTTAGTGATATGACTACAACTGATCTTCACTCCTCTTCTTCTTCTTCCCCTTTGCTATTGGTCTATTACCTGCACCCTCGATTGTACATACTTATGTTCGCAGGACTCACACTATCTCCTCCACAGATGTTGTGTTTTCATCTCCCAAATCAAATTCTGACACCGTGGATCACACTCCCCACTTTCCTCAACGTACTCGAAAGTGTCTTGATAGGTTTGATTGGTCCAACTCTTGTTACTTTTTTTATTTTTGTTCTTTCTTGACTTTTATACATTCTCTGTCTGAACCAACCTCCTATAAGGAGGCTATACTTGATCCTCTTTGCCAACAGGCTATGGATGAGGAGATTTCTACTTCACATAAGACTTGAGCTTGGGTGTTGGTGTGTTTGCCTCCTAGTAAACGCCCCATTGGTTGTAAGTGAGTTTATAAAATCAAAACTCAATCTAATGGTTCTGTGGAAAGGTACAAGACTAGATTAATGGCCAAGGGATTTGCTTGAGAGTATGAGTTTGACTACAATGAGAGTTTTGTTCTAGTGGCTAAGATGACCACGATTCGCACAATAACTATTGTGGCAGTTGTTCGTCAATGGAGCTTCTCTCAAATTGATGTGAAAAACACTTTTCTTCATGGTGATTTATCTGAAAATGTCTATATGACTCCTCCTCTAGGGTTGCCTTGTAGTCCTGATCATGTGTGCAAACTTCACAAGGCTTTATATGGTCTTAAACAAGCCCCGAGGGTATGGTTTGTAAAATTTTCTTTAGTCATATGTGACTTAGGCTTCTGTGCTAGTGATCATGATTCTACTCTCTTCCTTCGATCCACTTCTTCTAGTTTCATTCTTCTATTACTTTATGTGGATGACATGATTGTTACAGGTGATGACAATACTGGAATTCTGCTGTTGAAAACTCAATTACAGGATTATTTTAAGATAAAAGATTTGGGTCCACTTCAATATTTATTAGAGATTGAGGTTGCTTCATCTCTCAAGGGTTATCTTCTTTCTCAGTCAAAATATGACTCAGAAGTTATTCAGCGAGCTTGCTTATCAAATACTCGAACAGTTGACACACCCTTGGAGTTCAACGTTCGTTATACTTCTTCTGATGGTTCTCTTCTGTCTGATCCTACCTTATATTGTACTATTGTTGGAAGTTTGGTATATCTTACTATTACTCATCTAGATATTACTTATGCGGTTCATGTAGTTAGTCAATTTGTTGCTGCTCTTACTACACTTCACTGGTCTCCCGTTCTTTGAATTCTTCGATATCATATGTGGGATACGTTGTATCAAAGTTTATTATTTTATTCTTCATCATCTCTGGAGCTTCATGCTTACTCTAATGCAGACTGGGCTGGTGACTCTATAGATCGCAAGTCCATTATTGGTTTCTGTCTCTTTCTTGGTGATTCTCTTATTTCGTGAAAAAGTAAGAAACAAACAATTGTGGTTCGATCCTCTTCTGTAGCTAAGTGTCGTGCTACGGCCTCAACAACAGCAAAGATCGTTTGGTTGCGTTGACTACTTGCTGATCTTGACATTTTCTTGTCTACTCCTTCTCTTATGTATTGTGATAACATCAGTGTCATTCAGATTGTCCATAATTCGATTTTTCAAGAACGCACAAAACATATTGAGATTAATTGTCACTTTGTGCGCCACCATCTTCAGCTGGGCATGATATCTCTCCCCTTTCTTTCTTCTACTATGCAGTTGGTAGATTTTTTTTACGAAATCTCACATCATTGCGCATTTCTGTTTTTTTTTTTTGACAAACTCTTGATGTTTGATGCTACCACATCATAAGTTTGAGGGTGAATGTTAGAATATTTATATTATGGGTAGTTTAGGCATTTCATATTATTTTGTTTATAGGTAGTTTAGGCATTTTATATTATTTTGTTGCCCTAATATATAAGGGTTTATATTGTGTATTCTTTTTTAAGGTTGTATTACTGATTGGATCAATCTCAATAATATTCTTGACTTCTCTTTTTTTTTCTTTGATCAATGTTAACAATTAGAAGGGTTGTGTACTAGCCAAAGTTGAAGGATATGATTTTCTTACAATAGCATCTCACTCGATGGTGTTGATAAACTCTCTGGTTATAAAGGAAGCAATAAGAGGAATTGAAGTGATCCAAGGAGCTATCCTGAGCTATGCTCAGACAATCCCTGAAGTGCAATTTCAATATGTTAGTCGAGCGGCAAATGCAACTATTGCCAATCGTGCTATACTCCCAGTCAACTGGGTAGTTAGTATAGCACTAGAGTTGACGGAGATTTGTAGGAAAGAAGTAAGGCAAGGAATAGGCTAGGTCTCATATGCTAATGTTAAATTTCGTACTCTGGAATATTTTTCTAATTAAATACAATGACAAAAAAAAAAAAGATAAATAGGTATTAAGTTCCCGTATTATTAGCTCAAGGAAAGTCTACGATACTAAACCAAATTTTTTTGATTCTATATTGTCGATTACAATTTTTTATGAAAAAGTTACAGATTTGAAAGGAGAAGTTATAATTATTCAAAGAAAGACCATAATCGACCACAAACACCCTCGATCATAGACTCTCAATATCAATTTCACTTCTATGATCAATCATACTCTTTAAAAATTATAATTTATATTTTAAAAAAAATATAATTTAACTTTAAAAATTTATAACTTAAACTTCAAAATTTTATAATTTTTAGTAGAATACTGCCGTCACCTTTCTTCTTTAACTCATCTGGCTGAAAATAGCCGATCAATTAAATTTAGGGAAATACAATGTATCTTAAATTTATAACCCAAATTTATATCTCAAATAAAGGGGGACCGTTGAATGAGTGAGTCTCATCAATTTTTTTAAATGAGACCCACTAATCTAATAATTTTCTTTTATTTGGAATGTAAATTTAGATCATAAATTTGGACTACGCAGCATTGCTCTTAAATTTATAGCTGCACATGTCCAGTGAATGCAAATAACACTCTTCACCTCCTGACACGACCAGCACAAACTACAAAAATTTGTTCACCTTCCTCAATCTTCCGAACCCACCCCCTCCCGATTCTCCCTCTCTCCTCCCAATATAAAACCCAATAGCCTTCAATTTAATTCGCTCTTGAAAAAACTCGTATTTGTTTCTTGATTTTCGTTTCGTATCGTTTCATGGAATGCTTAGAATCCATAGATTCAACGGCCAATGCCTACAAACTCCTTTTCAAAGCTATCAAAGAGATACCCACATCACATTATGTGTTTGGTTTGTTTCTTTTCCTCATTGTTTTCTTGTACAACTTCTTGGAGTTCCACTTTTTCGAAGATTTTGTTTCTGGCTTTCGTGAAAGTCCCGTGTCATTGACCTATAATCCGTGCTCGGAAATCTACGAAGGTGTTGCCAAGAAGTGTCAAATTCTTCATGGAAGGTATATTTTTTGAATTTTTTATTAAAAAAAAAAATTAATACCCAATTTGAATCTCTTCTTGTTAGTCAAAAGTGTTGGGAGCATGCATTGGGTATTGACAGAACGGAGCTAGGATTTTATTGTGAGGGGTCACACAGAAATATCGACACATTCAAAAAAAAATTAGTAGGTCATTCAACCAATTATGTCAAATTTTTAGTTATACCAAATCTATCAAGAATCAACTTTCATATCCTCCGGAAAAGATATTTGGATGACAAAATCTGAAAATTGATTTGTAGTAACTACGATTAATTTTTGTTAGCTTCACAGTTGGTAGCGGAGCCGCTAAAAGATTTGGGGAACAAGTGTCCACCCTGATTTTTTTTTAATATTACTTATATATATAAATATATATTTTAAATATCCTTTAAGCATATTCAATTATATCCACCGTATTATCTTCATCTAATATCAATGAGTATTGACTTGAAAACTATTAACTTTCAGACATACTTCAAACACACCCCGATGGGTTTTTGGATATATTGGGTCCTTTCCTTTTTTTTTAACCAAAGATAGTGGTATAGTTATTTTGTTGTTGTATAAAAATTAGAGACCTTGTGTAGTAAAATACAAGGTTAGTTTTTAATATTCTGAGTGACATCAGCTAATACTTTTCTGCATGTGAATTTGAGAAATGGTGCTGATTGAAAATGTATTGTGGTGCCCGGGGGAGGGATTTTGGCTGTCGAGAGATGGAATGCAAATTTAGCGATTTGTTATCATCGGTGTCGTCTGTGTACAGGGCGTCTATTAATTACTGAATAATTGGAAGTTATGGTTCTGTTGCTTTTCTTTCCTGGGTTCCTTTTTTCTCTTTCTGGTAATCATGTCTGATTCTCAGTCTTCAGAATATGTGAATAGTGAATTACTTTTTCGGCCTCCAGCAAGCCAATGTTACCTTCCTTTTTTCCCCCTTGTTTTTCACTTATCTTATCCACTGCCATGATAGTAGTGTTGGAGACCAAAGGATTTGGATTACATTACAAAGACCAACTGATGAAAACGATTGAGCAATCTGGACGTTCATCGTTACTTGGTCATTGATGTGCACAATTCACCAGGCTTTTGTGGACTTTCATTGTTACTCACTGATGTTTTCTTTACTAGAAATTATTTTTCTGTGTACTTAAGTTATCTGTCTTGTGCTTCAGCTGGATTCTGGTTCCTCTTCCCCAAACCATTAAAATTATTTGCAAGTTCTGTTTTCATTTGATTGGGGTGCATCCAAAATTCTAATTAATGAAAAAAAGGGTAAAAATCACAGTTAATCTTTGAACTTTGTCTTCAATTTCAATTTGGTTCTTTAACTATAAATTACGTCTTCATTAAGCCGTATTAATTTTCATTGTTAGATCAAACCAGAGATTAGCTCAAACTAATTCATTTCAGTGATAATCTAACAGTGGAAATAAATAGAAGAATTTAACCGCGACAAAATTGATAATTGAGGGACTAAATTGAGACAATTAAGAAAGTTCAGGAAGCTTTTCCATCTCTAATTGACTCTCAGGCCTGGGATGTTAAAAACTATGGGAAAAGCGTATTTATACCTAGATGGAACTTAAATTAGATTTTGTAAAAAGGAGTTTCATGAACTGCGAAAGATGAAGAACTTTTAATTTGAAACATGAAGACCCTCGTATAAGAAAACTTGTTTAGTGACAAAAAACCCTAATTGGAATTATCACTATTCAAGTAATGACATTATAGGCACTTATAATTCGGGTTTGACAAAACTATATGGTTGTTATATTGTGACTTGAATGTCATGTGTTTGAGTTATGAGAACAATTTTTTTATATATGAAGATAAGACTACGTACATTTCAAATTTTTCAAAACCTAGGAGTCTTTTTCATTGTTTTTCTAAAGTATAGTAATTTTATGATCAATTCATAACAATAATCTCTCCGTACATAAATGTAAAATTGTGCATATCTGAAATAGGCTCGTACATCATAACTAGCTTTCCAAATGATATGCATCTCCTATAAACTAGTGGTGATAGTAGAGGAAATATGGCCACAAACTATGGGCAAAATGACAATATCCATGTACAAAGATGTTTGTGTCTAACATCAATATTTTGACCAGGTCTTCCAAACAAGCAAATAAATTCAACTCAAAGGAGACACCCTAGAGACAGTCGTCGTCCACAAGCCTGAAATTCTTTGTTTTTGATAGCAGATTTTCTTGACCAGAAAGGAAAAGACAGGATGTTGATCATGTTATAAAGATAAAGACTTGTAACGGAAATGCATTGACCCATGGACCATAAAGCATGGCTCAATTTTTTGGTGAGAGAAATTATATAATAGTTAGAACGTTGACATGTGTATTCAACGAGGTAACTCGTATTCAAAGATACAGCATAATAAAAATAATTTTTAGAGATATATTGGTGGCCGTTAAATGAATTTATTTAAAATTATCAAATAAATTTATTAAAATATGTCTTATTTATTTTACGGAGTTGGTTTGCATGGGTTTGCAATGGATACGTCATATAATTAGCTAGAGTAATGTTAGACCGATTAAATTTTGATATTAAATTTGGAGCTCAAATAACATAACAGTTGATTATTTAAAATTTTTTTTGGGGCCCAAATAACATCACACCAATCAAAAAAATTTAAATCAATTATCATGTTATTTGGACTCCATATTTAGTGTCACAATTTGATCAATCTAATATTACTGAACCAGCTACAGAGACTTTTAACACTTGAAGTTTCAAATAAGTCTTATGACCGTCTCATCCGAGTAAATTACAGTAATATCAAACACGTATAATTAGAATTTGATATGACAAAATTAGTTTTATGGGTCCCAACTAATAGTAAGATTCACGTTGATCTAATGACAAAAAATAATAAAGTCGTAAAATAAAGTCCATGTAATATTGTATTTTTTATCATAATCTTAAAAAACATAATCAAACATATATTTCGTGAGTAATGTCTAATTCATAGAAAAATAATTTTTTAAGAGTGTCAATGACAAGATAATATAATCTATCAAATAATCTTTGAATTTGAAATTTTTGGAATTTTTTATTTAATTTAAAAATTAAGTCAATTAATTATAATATCAATAAAAAAATATGTTAGAAAAACTTCAATACAAATACTAAATAATTAATATGCATCCATAAAAAAAATTAAATATTAGAAAATTTACACTATTATTAAAAAAATTTTTAAAAAAAGTCTCAATTGAATTTATTGTTTTAGGCCTCAAAACATATCAAGTCACCCCTAACAATCATCAACATCTCTCTAAAAAATATTTAAATTTTACACTACATTTTAAACACGAATTATTTTAATTAAATATAAATACAACACGACACAATACAACTTAATTCGGTACATACCTTGAATTTTAAAGTGTCCTAAATTACACAGCCTGTCTTTTTATCCAAATTACATAGTATTCCAAACAGAAAATCTGAGACTAGTTCCTGGGATTCGGCTCCTCTGCTGTTCATTAAGAACAGCAGGAGTTGCTGTTCTCCAAACGATGCCGTTTGGTGCCTTTTTTAAAAAACTAACCAGACCCAATCCGCTGGATTTTTGGCCGAATCCGACTTAATCCGCTGACCCAAAACTAGCTGGGTTTTTGGCCGAATCCGACCCAATCATGAGCAAAATTTAACATTTGGCGCCACTTTGGCACACTCCACACTCCTACATACACACAGCCGCTGAATCAAAAATCAATCCAGTTCCAATCTTTGGTGGTGAACATACCGTTGCGATGCTTAGTTTATTAAATAGAAACGAACCAAAAACTTGTTTATTGAGTTTTGCGATTCGTTCCTTTCATCCATTTCATGTATTTTTATGTCCATTTCAT